TATATATATATATATATATATATATATATATGTGTATAACCTCTATCAAGGTTAAAAATGTATTGTCGAGTAACCGTAGTGATGTCATATTATGTGACCACTGTATGACCGTAGTGGGCAGTGTTGCACTGTTGCAGGTCACAGAGTATGGTGTAACACCGGGTCCAATCCACCACCCATCCACTCTTTTAAGTTTCGTTTCTTACCTGCTGCATGTTTCTTCACGTTTGCAGTTTAATAATAATAACGAATAGTTTAGTTTTTCCTGTGACTTATTTGCAGTATGGTGAATGGTAGGAGCATAATATATGCTCCCAATGTTTTGTTAGTCTTTTTTTTTTTTTTGGAAATAATTACCTTTTTTTGCGGTTTTATTTATTTTTTGTATCTTGAGATCTATGACGTCATCAAATACTCGAGTTCTTCTCGGGTTTTATTATGTTAATGTCGAGTTTAAAAATTATATGCTCATTCAACCCCTAATATATATATATATATATATATAGTGTAATATACAATATGTATATATATCATATGTATGTATATATCACATACATATACAGTATATATATGATATATATCTATATATCTAAGGAGCTCTAAGTTTATATATATATTATGTTTTTCTGATTGTCTTCTAAAACAAATTTCAGTATTTTAGAATCCATTTTATTTCTTCAATTTTTTATTTTTTTTATTTTGTTTTTTTATGTCTAATTTAGTTTTTTCTGACGTGCACACATCACATTTAAAGCTTCCTTACAATGTTTTCTTACAAGTGTTGGTTTTCCACATATTCAGATTTTGTGGTGCCTAGTGCCGGAGATGTTTTCAAAATCGGGTTTTCTATTATTCTTTATAGTAAAATGTAAAAGAACTCGTCCCTATATTACATGTTTAAGTAATTTAATGTTGATGTCCGTGTTATTTCACAAAATCTTTTTTTAGCGTAATTAATTAGCTCTATTGCATTATTACTTTTCTATTCTTTGTTCTCCTCTTCCTCCTCTTTTTTTTAATAACTGAATATCACCAGAAATTATCAGACGCTATAATTTTCTGTCACTTCTGATTTTGCACTGTCACTGTCTGACTCAAACTTGTCCACGTCACAAATCATCTTTGAACTGAGATGTTTCTCCACTTTCAATCCAAATAGAAAAATACTTTATAAACTGTGAGCATTGTGTACCAATGCACTTCCACTAGACCACAACTGTGGGGAGGGAGTTAACTTGGTGATAAATCACTAAATTAAAGTCTGGATTACAAAAACTGTGTTTCTGACAGTTCAACAGCTGCGTCCTCTAAGGACAGAATGACTCCCTTTTGTTCTATACTATGCAAATTTATAAATTCACAAAAATGGTATGTTCACAAAACTTGAATAAACTTAATGAATAAAATGGAATATGTTAAAAGCATTACATTATATCTTGTTAATTTCAAGTTGACTTTAGTTTCACAGCATTTGCTGTTTTATTAGTGGCATTTTCAACATGTATTGATAACATGAAACAGAGTCCAGGAAGGTTAGACTTGTTTTATTTATTCATTTTTTTCAGCTGGTAGACTCAAGTGTTTGCATATTTTAGTTTGATTCAGATTATTTTTAATTATTAAATGAACCAGAATGTAGTTTATTAGTTGATTAATATCACGTTAAGACACTGTTGTCCAAAAGCATATTTATTTATTTTTCTCCATCTGTCACGTCATCTGTTTGACTTCTTGTCATTCTCTATCTGCCCTTAACTTTATGTTGGAGTCCCTCTGCTCTCACCTCCTCTCTCTCTTCCTCTCTCTATTCTGGTCCACCTCGCTCTATATTTAACATCTTCTCTGATGGATGGAGTCTGACTTCCACACTCGCACAGGCAGTCAGGAGGAAACCAATGAAAGTTTAATAGAGAAGTGGCTGCTTGTATTGTGGCATGTAGTGATAAATTTACAACACGCACACAGCTGTCCAGCAGCCAACGATCAGCTGATGTGTAAGAACGTCACAGGGAGTCATGGAAATGTATCCTCAGTAATCGGATTCCTGTGACAGTCGGTTGAGTTTGTTTAGCGGCACAGATGTTACATGTCAGACCTTGAGCTGTTGTTTGGACACACTCCTCTATACAGAGTGACGGCATGTGTTGGTTTCTAAATACAAACACACATCTCCTGCCAGGTTGATCTTTCTGTTAAAGAATGGTTCTGAAGCCATATAGAGTTTGTACTTGGGTTCCTTTTAGATATTTTTCATTATAGCAAAGGCTTACATCATTTATCAATATTTGCCTTTATTTTGTTTGCATTTTTAATTATAAATTGTAATATTTCAAGGTGTCTTTTGCCACATTTAAAAAAAAATTGAATATATTGATTTTGATTTAAATAGATTATTAACCTTTATTTAACCAGGCAAATCCCATTGAGATCACAGATCTCTTTTACAAGGGAGACCTAGGCCTGAAGGCAGCCTAACATGCATGTTATGCAAATAGAAAAACAGACAAATATACAGTTCAGAAGATCCATCCATTATCTTTTACCTGCTTCTTCATTTGTGGGTCACGGGGGTCACTGGTGCCCATGTCCAGCCATCACTGTGCGAGAGGCAGAATAGGTTAGGTTTTATTTCTCATGTGCAAAATCAGCGCAAGGTCAACAATGCAATGAAATGCTTACGACAAGAAGAACCGTCTCGACTCGCCAAAAAAAAAAAAGAAAACAAGAAATATCAAAGCATGCAGCAAAAATACTAATAACGTACTAAAAAATATTGCAAACATACTAAAAAAATGTTAAAATACTACTAACATGCAAAAAAAAAACATTAAAAAATACTAATACAGTACAGAAAACAATGCGCCAAAGGTGAAAAAGAAATACGTCTATAGTGCGATTCGGTTAGCATTGAGGTTCTTTCAACATCGTGGTTTGGTTCTTGTTAGCAGCTTAGCAGGTCCTGCCAGCAGGTCCGGTCTGCAGTTTGATGGTAATAAGGATCGCAGCAGCTGCCCTCACAGACCGCAGTCCAGAACCGGGTCTGGCAGACAGAAAACATCCCAGGTTTCCCCGTGGAATCGAACGGGTCCGTACAGCGTGTGCAGATGCAGGCAGATGGAGGCTCTTGTTAGCAGTGTTAGCAGGTCTTGTTAGCTTTAGTTCAACCTGGACATGTCTCCAGTCCATCACAGGGACACATAGAGACAAACAAGACAAGCAATCATTCGCTCTCTCACTATAGGAACAATTTGGAGTTACCAATTAGAATAACGTGTGTTTTTGATCTGTGGGAGGAAACCGGAATACTGGCAATAGTTGAAAATCTGTGAAGTAGGAATGTTATATTTATTTTAGTTTATATATATATATATATATATATATATATATATATATATATATATATAAAGTCTTTATAAACCCTTCCCACGTTCTTGCAATGTTCTTAACAATGTTCTAAACTATTAAACCTACATAATTTTAACGATCTATATATGTACTGTACAGTACTGCAAAATTGTATATGGGTACTCACCAGTGAAGATACTACTACAACTTGAAGAATGAGTTCAGCTGCCTGAAACCTTAGAACATGCAGAACGTTTGTGTGGCATCTTAGGACTTGAAATAAAGTTCAGTCTCTTACGAAAATTTCACAAAAGAGCACAGCGAAAGAGAGCAGACTTACTGATTTTATGGTTAATGAGCCAGTCAGTGCCCGGCATACAGAGCACAATGCTCTGGTTGGTCGCCTTGTATCAATCAGCCAATCGTGTGTCGTGTACAATATTCTGTTGAAAACCCACGAAACAGAAAGTCGAACCGTAAAATATCGAGAGACTACTGTATTTAGAAATCTGTCACTCTTTGTAATCTTTAGTATCCGAATAAGAAAATGTCTTGTTTGAATCATACAGATGATGATAATCTACATGTTCATAACACCCCATTCAATGTCTATTGGGACTCATTACAAAGTATATAATCAAATCTAAAAAAGTTTTCCTAAACTGTATCAAATGGTGCTTTTCAAGACAGTTTACTCCAGTTGTAGTTCAGATATGTTGCTATGCAGTTTTGAAATGTGGGTCCACACTCAATGTAAACAAAGCATTCAGCTGAATCTGAAAAAGGGAATGAAAGCTCAAGTCACATGACCGATCTAGATCAGGTTAGCTGTAGTCTGTGTAGGTAAACAAATGTGGCAAAATGAAAAAAAAGCATGCAACCCCTGCAAATACATTCAGGTGAAAATATAAGAGTGAATCTGCTGCTAAACATGAAACAATGAGAATGACAACTGTCAAAAATAAATGTTGGGGACAACGCAGGTTGGTGCAGCGCCACAAAGTTCAACATTCAAATGTGCAGCTTTTGCATAACGCCTGCTGGACCAAAGAGTTTACTGACTGACCTTTGGCTCCTTTCTTAGGTAAACAAATACACATGGTAGATGACATCCGGTCACATGTTTTTAGAAAAAATAATTTCTAAGGACACCTTGACTGTTAAAATTAGAAAGTATTGTGAAAATTAAGTTTATTACTCTTTTATTATTATTATTTTTTTTTTTTTTTCATTTTTTCGCAGTGAGAACCTTTAACACTAACACGGTAATAAAACTAAAATCATATTGTGCAAATTAAAGTTGACTTTCCAAACCTTTAATGAGAGGAAAAGTTTGACATTTTTATTGGTGTTAATTTTAGGGCTCTTTTAAACAAATTCTAGATGAACGATTCATCCCGTGACTAGCAGGAAAAAAATTGCTGTTGATGATGATATGACGGAGTATCTTCACTGAAGTTGTACTACACTGAGATACGATGTTTGTTTCAGTAATGAAATACTAGAGTTAAGTGTCTGAACTCAAAATCGCAAAGCTTGTTCAGACTCTATATTTAGACCATGTCTAGATGTGATCAGTTTAAACAGTGTCAGGGTAATAAATCAAGTCTAATTTTAAACGTGACATAAATAGTAATGTGACTTGTCTCCTGCAGAGTAATGATGTGGAGGGCAGCACCTGGAACTGGATGTACTACATCCCCCTCATCATCATCGGCTCCTTCTTCATGCTCAACCTGGTGCTGGGTGTACTCTCAGGGTAAAGTCCTTGGTGTTTTTGTCTGTTTTCCACCTTTCTTGATACCATACTGCATTCGTTTTCGCTTTGTAACAACACAAAGAGCGGAATAAAAGAGAATGTTTTATGATGATAATTAAAAAATAAATGTCCCCACAGTGAATTTGCCAAAGAGAGAGAACGAGTGGAAAACAGGAGTGAGTTCCTCAAGCTGAGGCGCCAGCAGCAGATCGAGAGAGAGCTCAACGGATACTTGGAGTGGATCTGCAAAGCGGGTCAGAACGCAATGACAATCGCACTTCTGATGTGCATGGCTCTGGCTGCTATATTTACACAGTGTTCTCACATTTTGTTTTATAATTTACAGAGGAGGTGATTTTGGCAGAGGAAGATGCCACAGGAAATTTTGACGGTAACTATTTCATATGTATGATAAAGTGCTCTAAAACAAAACAATTTGAGTTGGACGTTTGTCAGAAATACAAAAAGCAAGTAAACTAGAGAAATTGCATTTCCTACAAAAATGCAGTGTGAATGCTTATTACTGAAAAACAGCTGAAATTAGCTAAAAAAACCATTCTAAAATGTAGCTGAAATGGAAGAACAAGCCTAAATTAGCAGAAGAAAGCATAAAGAACACATATTGCTGAATGAGGTTTAAATGATCAGAAATGAGCACAAAAAATATAAAATAAGCTTTAAAAAAAGGCTGAAATTAAGAACAAAAAGCTGAAAAATAGCTGAAAATGCAAAAGGAAGCTTAAACTACCAGAAGGAAGCAGAAGGAACTGAAATGAGCTTAAAAAATGTGGAATTAGCTGAAAAAGCTAAAATTAGTATAAAAAGAGCTAAATAGTAGCTGAAAGAGCAGAAAAAGTTGAAACTAGCAGAAATAAGCTGAAAGGAGTGTAACAATCTGAAATTTGCATAAATAATTTAATTAGGCTGAACATAGCAGAAATTAACTGAAATTTTTGCACAAGCTTAAATTTGCATTAGAAAGCAGAAAGAGCATGTTTGTCCAATTAGGCTGAAAGAAGCAGAAATAAGCACAAAAAAGTAGAAATTATTTGAAAAAAATTGAAACTAACAAAAAAACCTGCTGAAAATAAGCTAAAAAAAAATGGGCAGAAAGATGCTTAAATTACCAGAAGGAAGTGGAGAGAGCACATTTTTGCTGAATAATGCTGAACAAAAGTTTAAATGAGTGCAAAAAACAAGAATTAGCCAAAGAAGCTAAAATTAGCATAAAAACATCTAAACAGCAACTGAAATAGCAGAAAAAACTGAAAGGAGCATAACAAGCTGAAACTAGCAGAAAGAAGTTAGTAGAAGCACAAAAATGTTGTAGTTAGCAGAAAGAATTTGAAAGGAGCACACAACAGCTGAAAAAACAGCTGAACGTAGCTGAAAAAAAGTTTTAATTTGCACAAAGAGGCTGAACCAGTACAAAACGTGAAAGGAGCTGTAAAAGATTGTAAACAGATCTAAAGATCTGAAAGATGTAAAATGAGCTTAATGCATTTTACATGAGAGAAAAAAATGGCAGAAAAGTATAAATATTTCAAAAAGCTAAAGCTACACCAATACCAAAAATCATAGCACCCTTCTCCTGAACAAGTTGAATGTTTTGATGATTTGTTGAAATAGCACAAAAATTGTGGAATGAGAAAGATGCCGAAAAACGTACAGAAGAAAAATGGATCACGATAGTGTGAATGCTTCATAAACATTCACACTCAGTGACTAACTGTGGAAAACGTCTGTCACAATAGCTGAAAAAAAAAATTTTTCTTTGTTCATTTTATTGCAAGGCTCGAGGCGACGGCCTACCATCAAAACCAGAAACAACAAGACTGAGCTGCTAAACCAAGAGGAAGGAGAGGACAACATGGAAGATGCAGTGGGTAAGAACAAAGAGAGGTGGATAATATGGATAGAAATATATTTTTCTTATTTTAATCAAGACTTTGAACGATATATGGAAAGCAAGGGGAACGAGAAAACAATGGAGAGTGAACAAGTAAAAAATAAATTCACATCAAACATCCATCATAATAAAATGTCATGTCTAACTGCTCTCTCTCCCTCTCTCTCTCTCAGGTTTTGCACGCTCTAGTATAAAGAGCGGTAAAGATGGCACCAATTACAGTAAAAAAGAACGACGAATGCGATTCTTCATACGCAAGATCGTGAAGACGCAGGCCTTTTATTGGACGGTGCTCTGCCTGGTGGGCCTCAACACCATCTGTGTGGCTGTGGTGCATTATGACCAGCCTGAGCTCCTCTCTGACTTTCTCTGTGAGTAAACTCAAATGAAAACTAAATGCACACAACACATTCATACACTACATGCCGGTAACTTTTAGTACAGTTTTTATGTATATGTTTCAAGATGATGTTTGTTGTTGTACGACCTAAAAATCACTTTACCACTTGCTCTTGTCGAGGGCGGATGCTTTTCCCCCTCCTCTCCCTCCTCCGCTTTGCTTTGCTGCTCTGTCCTGCCTGTGAAACTTCCTCTGTGCCTCTCTCTACACATCTCCTGAACTGTACTTTTGTGGATCTGGTCAGTTAGTCTCTCAACGCAATGGTCAAAGTTCTTGAGACAAGCTTCAGGTGAGCTTAACTGCTCGGATGACACGTATGCAGCTGGATATGTCTCTGGAGGAAGTGGAATGTGATGTGTCTATCTCTGCTGTCGATCAAGGACGTCAAAATTGCAAATATAATTGGATTTATGATGACAGGTTTCATGTATTTTTTTTAAATTATTGTCTGGTTCCTGATTTATCAACATAGAAAGAAGACATGCCTCAGCTAATCTGGCCTGGTCAGGTTGCCACCTATGTGAAGGTTTGCTCCATGTTCCGAGCACCCATACTCTATTGCTTAGCGGACTGGATCGCAAACTGGATGTGATTTGTGAGAATCGCAGGCCATATGCGGCCCCTAGGACTCGCTGGCAGGATGGATCAAATCTCGGGGAATATTCTCAGGCACGGGCCAGCGATGTGTCCACTTAATTTGGACCTTTCAGAATCTACTTGAGACCAGCAAAGACTCAAGGCAGATACAATTCAGTAAAGTTCTGCCTGCCTTCAAAACAAAAGTTTTTTATCCGAATTTGGCTCCCTCGGCTGGCTTTGCAGGCGACCTTATCTCAATTCACCTGGAGCCTCTGTTATCTGACGCTCTGCCCCCCTCCCTCCTACCGAGGAAGTCCACGGAGCAACCAGAGGGAACAAGCTGAATAAACATTGTTTCATCATTTCAGGACTCTTTGCTTCTCACTGGCGTTGTCCTTGGCAATTCCCCGACACTCCTCGAGAATGTTTACAGATCTCACCGGAGGGAACTGCTGATTATTCCATCCTTATCTGAACTCCTACAGTGCCTCCGGGAGCATCCTTAAGGCTCCAGTATACTGCCGCGTACGTCCGTTCACGCGTACGTACGCGTGTACTGTACGCAGAGGGTTCAGACTTCATACTCCAGCGTACACCCCGAGCAGCTTCACAGACGAGGGGCGTTTACCTTCGGGACAAATTGAGGTCGCCGATTGGTCATTTGCTGACACGCCTACTGGATTGATTGACAGGTCGGAAAAAAGAAAAAAAAGCGAGTGCTGGCAGCCTCCGCCGCAGCGGTGTTCTGTGTTTATATGTTGTTAATAAAAAGATCTAAAAAATTAATAAAAAAAAACAGAGAGCGCTGGCTCTACAGCCCACACATCAGACCAGCCCACCAGGAAATCTCCAGACACTCCCGCAGCCACGCTGGACCTGAGTTTAATTCGCTCGTGACAAATTCCTCCATTTCTCACCATTTCAGTCATGGCATCAACGGAGGAGGAAGAGATCACTGCCTCTTGGCAAAAAACAAAACAAAAGAAAAGGCCAGATCAGAGATGAAGAAGGGGAATTTAATACATTGGTGTCGCATACAAAACAGTCCGCGACAGAGCTAAATCTAAAAACAAATGCATGTTTTCCCCAACTGTAAATCTCGGGCTTGACTGTTGGCTAATTTTATGATTCTTGCTTTCATCTTGACCCCATTTTGAAAGATTGTTTATAGTCTTCAAATCTATTGTTCTCTCCTACACATGAAAACAAGGCATTTACTATTTTACTACAAAGAAACCATCTAGGTTACCTGACTGAACATTGTTGGATGTTTTACCTGAATTATTGAGCATGAACCTTGATGATAATAATCATTCAAAGTTGTCTGCAAATACAGTCATGGAGAAGTTTAACCCAAGATCACATTTATAAAAAAAAAATGTTTAAACTGATCATTATTATTTATATGAAACCTTTTCAGTTTGATGAGCTTAAATAAACTCAAACTATTAAATTTTTTTATTTAATTGTAGCTGCAAATTTGTTGCCTCAGACTTGAACAAACATAAACATGCACTCGTACAATGAAGTCTACGCTTGACTGATAGTCAATCTTATTAGAATGGGAAAATCTAGTTTTTCATGAAGTCCATACATCACTGACAAGACACTCCCTCGACTCAGCCCATCATTGACTTCTACTCATCTTCTCTCACACACACTAACATACTTTCTTCAGCTCTGGCTCACTGTTTGATTTTCTCTCCAATGTTAAAAAAAGAGAGAGAGAGCATTCCATTTTTTTTTTTTTTTTGTTCCATCCTTCATTTTTTCTCCTAATAACTCCACTTATGTTTCCTCCATACTTACATCTCTCTTTCTCCCTATTCTCTCTTCCAGTCTATGCAGAGTTTATCTTCCTTGGTTTGTTCATGTCTGAGATGCTGATCAAGATGTATGGTCTGGGCATTCAGCCCTACTTCCACTCCTCATTCAACTGCTTCGACTGCGTGGTGAGCTCACACACACACACACACACACATACAGTGACTAAGTGAAAACAGGAGCTCATCGCCACCAGGTTTTATTTAAAAATCTAACAGTATTTCGATTTAAGAAACAGTTTTATACTATGGGATTGTGTGATAAAATAAATATTTCATTGTCTACTTACTGAGAATTAGCCACACTGAGGACAAGAGAAGATTTGATCCAGTTTACTTGCAAGGACAGAGTTCACATACAGGCTCTCATAGATGTACAAAGTTACATGAGCCTTGTCAGGGAGCATCTGCACCGGACAGTATAAAAGAAGTGCTTTTTTAATACATACTTATCAGACAGAGGCAGGTCAAAACCAGGGGTGGAAGTAAAGAATTACAAATACTCACATTACTGTAATTAAGTAGATTTTTGGGGGGGTACTTGTACTTTCATGATTATTTCTTTCAACTGTGTAATTTTACTCATACTTAAGTGCAATTTAGATCATGTAATCTACTTCACTACTTTTAAAATCAGAAGTCACTACTGAGTACGGCCACAATTTGAATTAATCAAACCATTCTTCTGCATCTTTGTGGCCAATAAGGCTCTCAGATCGTGAATGTGACAGTTACGTATGACGTAAGCAAAGGACAACTCCGTGGAGCAGAGAGTCATTTAGAGTCCACTCTTCACAGCCAATCGAAGCCGGAAAGACTCTGTGAACTTAGAAAACCAGCTCCTGCTGACACTGAACAAAATGTTCAGAAAGTGAAGGGTGACACAAATGTCAGAGTTTGACACTTACCTGCCTGTTGTTCGCAGTGCATTTGGAAAAGTTTTAACTGTTATTTGCCGCTTCAAAAACATTTTTGGTCGTTCTTTTAACAAACAAAACCCCTACTTTATCTACATTTGTTTACGAAAGAAATGGCCTTAGTGTATTTTTTATATACTTTATTGTTCGTCTGAGAAATGTGCTTTGAATGTAGTTATTATATACAGTAAATCGAATTGAATGTCTTCTATTGACAACACAAAATACATCAATTAGTTAAAAAGTAATTAATGCTCGAGTAGTGTTTGAGAAGAGTACTTTGTACGTTTGCTTAAGTAGTTTTATAACACCAGTACTTTTACTTGTAAATGAGTTCAATTTAAGCAGTGTAACAGTACTTGTACTTGAGTACAAATTTTCAGTACTCTTTCCGCCTCTGGTCAAAATGACCTCGGCTTGACAGCGCACAGACTTGGAGCCGTCCTCGTAGTTATCAGGTGCTCCTCCGTGCATCTGCAGGCTCCTCTCTGAGGAGACAACTCAAACTCACACATTAATTTAACCTTAGTTAGTGATAAACATCAATAACATTTACTTAAATTCCCTGGATATTTCCCCCCTGTTTATGGATGTTTATCATCTTATCATCATAAGGAGACATTTATTAAACGTATTTCAAGAAATGCCAACTGCTCAGTTAAAAAAATGTCCATTTCCTTGTGGTTGGGAAACCACAGTGATCCACCAGCAGTTTACCTGAAATATCAAAGCCTTAGAAAACAAGTCTCACTCTAAACAGATAGTTTTGCGCTTAGGCTCTATCTAAACTACCTGAAGTATTCATTTAAACTTATTTCAACTCGGCAACTCTACCAACAGCCACCATTTACTTTGTTCTTTCAGTCAGTAACCATTCCAGCACATAATCAAAGCTTGATGGCAGCAGAATTTGGTAAAAGACAAAAACAAGTCCATTGCTGTTGTGTTTTCTAGGGTATGAATTGATGATGGGCATGTGCAAAACAGGTTACTGTGTTGTTTCTTTATATTCCTAGTTGACATAGAAATGGCAATGCAAAAAAAATTTTAATTACTAAACTTAAAGTAATGCAATCAGAAGGTCCAAAAATATAATTTCATTCAGGATATTATGTTCCATCCATCCTTTCATCTCCTACCACTTATTTGTATCCATGTTGCAGGGTGCGCATGTCCAGGAAGGAAACCCAGACATCCCTCTCCCCAGCAACACTCTCCAGCTCCTACTGGGAGATCCCCAGGCATTCCCAGTACAAATAGGATATATAATCCTTCTTATGAGTTCTGGGTCTGCCTCAGGTTCTCCTTCCTGTGGGTCGTGCTTCTAAAACTTCCTTTGTTATTTTCTAGTAGAGCTCCATCAAAGCTCTTGCTTGTTTTTGCCAAACAAAGATACACAGCCATAACATCAACATATGTTTGACGAGTTACATTAGGTAAACAAGTTTCAGGAAGGTCAAACTGAAAAGCAGGGGTCCCAAAACAGTACCTTGAGCTCGGAAAAAGAACAGTAACATTTGATTGTCTGTCTTTGCAGGTAATTGTTGGCAGTATCTTTGAGGTTGTGTGGGCCACTATAAAACCAGGCACATCTTTTGGAATCAGTGTATTACGAGCTTTGAGATTGCTGCGCATCTTTAAAGTCACCAAGTAAGTTTCACTCTGCATATCCATCAGCTTATTCAGGAACAAACAAGACAATAGCAGCAACAAATGTACATAATGACGATGCTAAAAGTCCTAAAAAAAAAGCAGCATGCTCCCAAAAAGAGTACACTAGTCCCTCGTTAATCACAGAGGTTACGTTCCGGACCCCTCCCCCGCAATAAGTCAAAAACCGCGAAGTAGGAATGCTATATATATTTAAACATATATACGTCTCT